AAAAAAATGCAGCTTGAACTATATGTGCTCGTCTTACGCCGGATTTTACTGTATATTTGATATTTTTTTTACTAGTCAAAGCACGAAAATAACATGACAAAGTTAATTATTTTAAATCTGCAAAATCCTGACAGAGAAAACTCAAAATATTCAGGAAAGTAAAGAAAATGATATAAGTGCATATCGCCATAAGTATTTTAAAACTCCACTTATGACTGTCTTGTGAATTGTAGTATAAGTTATATAGAAAATAAAATTAATGCGCTTATGAAAAATATTTTAAACAAGCATGAGAAATTCGTAATTATTATTTAAAGGTATTTTTTGAAAAATAATTTTGACAATAATATTTTATATCTTTTTTGTATGGTTTTTGGTTTTGGATTATGTTTCAAAATAAAATCTAAAAAAGAGTTGGATTTGCTTAAAAGTTTTTAATTCTATTGTTATTTTGAAAAATGTCTATTTTGTTAATGGGTAAATTAAATTTTCAATACTCATTTTCTCCATTTCAAGCGGTTTTTTTAGCGTTTTAGCCAAAGAAACAAATGCTTTCATTATTATTTTCTCGGTTTGTTTAAAGTGTGGATGTTTTAAATGTTTTTTCCTTTCCCTTATTTTCCGAATTCTTTGTACGCAAATAGTTACAATTAGAGTAATTTTAAAAAAAATTATTCTATAGAAAATACAACATTATTACAATTTTTATTCAAACGATTTTTTTATCAATGGTATGAAAATAACTTTATTTCCGTCCTAAATATTAAAGCTTTCTTGAATTTTGGATGAAGCTCATTACTATTCTCTGAGATGTAATAAAAAGCAAAGAAAATATTCTAACTGCTAGCGGAACTTCGGAACATTTTCTCCTCAGACAGTTTAGTAATTCAGACTCGCCCTTCTTACCTGTATTAAAGGTATCCCAAATGCAACCTGCGTAGCAAGCACTCGGTAAGAGGTGAAGGTCATTCAGAGGACAAAAAAATCATTTATTCGAACATAAGCACAGTGTATTCCACCTATATATAGACTATTAACTGCATTGAAAAAAAATACTTGTATCCTTCAAAAGTAGTCTTTACTGTAATCATTTTTCAGAGTCGATCTGTTTTACTGTGTCAAGAGCAGATTTGGCAGTGATAAGCATAAATCAAATCAGTTTAATGAAATTGTGTAAATCATATACGCGCGAAAAGCGAGAGATGTTGGCAAGTTTTAATGTTTTAATTAAAAATTATGAAAAAAAAAATATTTAGCAGTAGAGTAAATACAATTTAGTAATCTCTTTATTTTTTTTTTTGCAAAGGATTTTGTTTTTTTCCGACTGGTGATATCAGAATCATGAAATAAATAAGGATAATAGAATAATTTGCTCTCCTTACCATTTTACATTGGAATATGAAATATTTCTGAGGCTTTATTCTTAATTTTTTTTTTTTTGCATAGTATGTTTTGTTTGCGTTATTGATTGCTAATTATTTAGTTAGGTCATGGTTTTCTGATCAATTGAAAATAAAAAATAAAAAATTCAGTCCCAAATGTTTTTAAAGAAAACTACATATAATACTGCAATTAGTTCCTTGATTGGGTAATGTTATATTGTATAGAGCCCTTGTTAAATCTTTAATTGTTTTATTTTGCAATTGAGGATTTAAATATATATATATATATATATATATATATATATATTAAAAATAAACTTTCGAAATATTCCTAATATTTTCTCTAGCATTAAATAAAAATGAAACTGTCAAAAACTAACTCAAATACAATTTCCGATATTTCTTTTTTAATGACTACGAGAATGAAAAATATTAACAAATATTTTATCAGGTACTCACTGAATTTCTGCGCATTTCTACAGTCAGATAAAATATTATTCCTTCCTATTAAAACGACTGCACTTTAACCTGTTCGATTGGAATTTATCAGATTCACGTGTGTCAAACGTAAACATTTTACTTCCCTTCAGTGCTTTGTAGGTAGTGATTTTTTTTCGGAGCGGATTTCTTAAAAAAATTGTTCTATTTTCTACGCAGAGATAATGAGTAAAATTTACTCTATAATTAACCCACTTGCGTTGTATTTATTTTCTTATTGTAACTAAAAGAAATGGCATTAAAATTTTAGAAATTTTTCAATTAAAATGCTATGAAAGTTTAGTGATGTTAAATAGAATGCGTGTTTTTGAAGAAATATTTTTCTTGTCTTAATCCTTTTTGTGTTCTTTTAAATTAGTTAAAAAATGCATGTTATTGTATTTTTGAAAAAAAAATTGTGGAGATTTTTTTCTTTTGAATTGTGCTCTATTACGCGATGAAAAAATTTATGTTCTTGTAAACTACAATTTTTTGATTAAAAAATTTACATAACTGATTTCGAAAAGGAAGAAGTTAGATTATAAAATTTAGCTCACATAATATTATATGTGTGTTCAGTAAAAAAACTTTTAATTAAATTCTAATAACCGCAGAATACCATAAAAAAATTACCAAAAAAATTCTTGAATTCTGCTACTTCAGATTGAATTAAATGGAATAAACTCATAATTTGGATTTATGATTCTTTTTCTAATATTCAATATTTTGAATAATTTACAAGTTTCCAAAAGAAAAATACTGTTTTTAAAATAATAAAATTTAAAATTTTTACAGTCTTTATGCTTATGTCACGCCGAATTGCTTATGTGTTATTTAAGTTCCAGATTGATTCCTGATTATTATTAAATATTTAATTAAGCTTGTTAGATACTTGATGCTTTCCGATTATATTGCACTTAATTGAAAGTATTTCTATGCAATTTATTCTTTAAAAATGCTTCAAATTTTATCTTTACATCTTGCTGCTAATGTTGTGCCAATATTTAAAATATTTTACTTTTTCATTATTGATACTCAGAAAAAATATTCCGTACTTTTCTGTTTCACTGGCGCAAATCTTGCCAAGCTGGTTTTATTGGCGACAACACACAATATACACACAAGTTCCCGTTGGTTTTCATCTATTTTTGATGTATTATGAAAAAGACTGTACTGATAAGAAAAGACCGTGACTTGTTTTGAAAAAGTGGTGTTATAGAAGTTTACCAGCGGGAATAATTCGATTGGCGTCGGTTGTATCATTTTTGGCTTCTTTAATTGCTTGCGTAAGCGAAAAGGAAAAGTACCAAAAAACTTTTTAATTTGTGTTAATATTTATTGAAACCAGAAATATTTTGCTAAATTGTTGTTTGTTTCCTTAATTGATTTCTGTATATTTAAACAAATATATACCTTACAAATGTCTTGTATTCTGTTAATTTTCTTATTTATTATATAATATTTAAACAATTGTGTTATGTATAATTTGGTTTCTCAATACTGTTTCAGTATTTATAATTTCTGTAGTTTAATAAAATATCCAACTAGTTGTCACACATCTTAAATAAGTTAAAATTTCAAAACGTGCAATATTTTATTCTAAATTGAGAAAAATTAGATGCAAAGAACATGCTTCAAAAATTTGCAAAAATATTCTATGAGTTCCTATTATTTATTTATTGAGGGTTGTTGTATATATATGTGTGTGTGCGTGGTGTGTTTGAAAAATATTTAACTTATATTAAGAATAAGCACATTCCTTTGTGTTTCTCAATTTAATACTGTATAAAAAATATCTATCTCAACGTGGATTGTTTGTTGACCTGAAATGTATTTTGATGTAACAAAAAAAAACAACTTCTGAATGTTTTGAATTCTTAAGAGTTTACAAATAAAATATATATTTACTTTTATTAGTTGTGAATCTTTTTTCCCTTGTTTTTCACACACACAATTCCTACTTATTAGTTCACAATTCTCTCTCTCTCTCTCTCTCTATATATATAGTGTTTTTTTTTTCAGGTATAGAAGTTTAAGTTGGCGTTATTTTCCAAGATGGTGACCGATTTAACAGCTGTCAAGTGATTTGTTCTCAGTTTGGTTTGGCAATTCATCATGAATAGACTCACGCCTGAACAACGCTTTCAAATTGTGCAATTTTATTTCGAAAATAATGGTCGATTTTCATAAGCGAATTTTGTTTAGCGATGAAGCGCACTTCTGGTTGAATGGCTACGTCAACAAACAAAACTGCCGCATTTGGAGTGAAGCTAATCCACAAGTGTATGTCGAAACACCGTTACATCCAGAAAAACTGACTGTTTGGTTCGCTTTATGGGCTGGTGGAATACTTCTTCAAAAACGATGAAGGCCACAATGGTGTGGTGATGAAGGTGAATGGTGATCGGTATAGAGCCATGATTACTAACTTTTTCATTCCTGAATTGAACAATCATGATGTCCAGGAGCTGTGGTTCCAACAAGACGGCGCAACATGTCACACAGCTCGTGCCACAATCGATTTATTGAAAGACACGTTTGGTGACCGCCTAATTTCACGTTTTGGACCTGTGAATTGGCCTCCAAGATCTTGTGATTTAACATCGCTAGACTATTTTCTGTGGGGCTATGTAAAGTCATTGGTCTATGCGGATAAGCCACAAACGCTTGACCATTTGGAAGACAACATTCGCCGCGTTATTGCCAATATACGGCCACAAATGTTGGAAAAAGTCATCGAAAATTGGACGTCCAGATTGGACTACATCCGAGCCAGCCGTGGCAGTCCTGTGCCAGAAATCATATTTAAAATGTAATGCCACAAGATTATCTTTCGAATAAAAAAAATTTCATGTCAATCGAATAATACATCGTTGTTTTATTGCAATTTAAATTTCTATACCTCTAAAAAAACACCCTTTATATATATCTTGTTCAAATTTTCAATCGTTAATAAAAAACTTTTTATTCATCCACTGAAGTTCAAATACATTTTTTTAAAAAAACTTGTAGTGGATGATGCTTGATGTTAGTATAGTTTTTTTTTTTTTCAAATATTAATTCATTAATTAAATTTAATCAATGAATAAATAGTAACAGACAAAAATAATAGTCCAGCACCATATATAAATCGCTCGTTGTGTCCCTGTAGCGCAATGGATAGCGCGTTGGACTTCGAATGCAAAGGTTGTGAGCTTTAATCCCACTTGGGATGGTCTAATTTCTGAGAATGTGATTTTTTTACTATACTATTTTATTGGAATAATTAAATTTAATTCATGAGTAAATACTAACAAACAAAAATAATAGTCCAACACCCTATATAGAAAGGAAAATGGAAAATAGTAAGGAAAATCGCTTTTGTATTTTGCCACTTAATATTGTGATTCTGTCCTATGTATATACACATTTATATTAATAGTTTTTATTTAATAAAAAGTAGCAAAAAGAAGGGTTTTCTTTGTTGATCTAAGTAGGAATTGACTATTTTTTTACAATACTTAATTGTTTATAAAATGATTTGAATTTTATTTGTTCTTTATTTAATAATTTTTAAAAATTGATTGATTTTTTTATGCTGCATGATAACTGTATTATACGCATAATTCCAAAAAAATTTTCGGATTATTCTTTAAAAGCGCTTTTAAGGCTGTATATGAAAGTTTAAGTGCAAAGTATTTAAGCAATCAGGGTGCAGTATAGCCAAACTTGGCTCCTGCGCCAAAAAAAAATCAATCAATTAAGCAATCAGGGTTTGTTGTTTACTTAAATTTTTAATGGTAATAAAAATTTAGTTTATCCTTCTTTAGCGTATCTTTAAGTTAAAAATGCTATAGTAATGAAGATTCTAACTATCTCAATCATAAAATATTTTTATTTACTTAAAAAAAATTATGTCCGATATTTTCAATTATGTGTTTATTTCTTACGTTTTATTTTAACATATGTCTAGACTTAAAAATTTTGCTTAATGCACGTTTTTAAATGTGAATATTTTAAATTTTTTTGTATTAGTGCAAATTATATTACTTCAGTTTTTTGACTTTTCTTATCCAAACTAATCTTTATTTTTTTAAAATAAATAAATAAAAAAATGCTTAGGAACTTCATGCTTAATTCGCTGTATATTTACTCTTCTGTTAGTATAGATGACTCCTAGCAAAATGAAAGTGCTTACATAAAGTATTCTGCAGTGCTTTCAAGTGAAGTGCGTCTGCAAACAGAAAATACAACAACTCAACTCATCAATTCCAAGCACGTTTAGTCTCGCCGGCGAATTATTGAATATCAAAATTCGAAACATTTTACTTTTGCTTGTATCGTTATAATTCTTATTTGCTTTGTCATGTTTTAACATTTTTAAAAGAATTCTTAGAAAAGCATAAGCATAACTAACTTCGTTTTGAATGAGAAACTGACTGTATTTACAAAATTATAGTTTTAAATGAAACACTTATTCTCGTGTTTAAAGCAGCCAGCACTATTTTTTTCAGTTGCCCCTTTCTCATATCTATTTTTAGAAAGAAAAACGTGCCCGGAGATGTATTAATGTTTTAACAGCATTGATAGAAATTCAGGAAATAATTATTGGTATAAAATCGAATATTTTTAATATATTGGGCAAGATTTATTTTTATTAAAAGAAATATATATAGTTTTTGTTTAAACACATTGAAAATAGTTGGACCTCCATTTTACGAACTTTTCATGGAATTAGGAGTGAGTGATTGAATATTAACGTCGCACTATTCAGGTACTCGAGAGCTTTTGGCGATGGGCATCGTAATTTCGAACCATGGTCAAGTGACGCGGACGTCACATGAGCTGGCACCCTCTCTAACTTCCACACAACACCAAATGGAGGATGTTTGAGCATCGACAAATTCAACGTGCATCGTCTCTCTACTCGACGGGTCTTCAGCGGTATTAGTCTAAAGCTCATGACACGCCGGCCACGAGTACGTTACCTTGACCACTAGGCTATCACGGCCACCCTGGAATCAGGAACCTGATATATTGAAAGATAAATCTCTATTTAACGAATTTTCTATATAACGAGAGTTTTTCGGGATTTAGCGACTCCGTTAAATAGAGGATCGACTATATTTTCTTAATAACAGGTTTCGATCTACGTATTATACATATTGTTACGTAGATCGGGCTCGATGATTTTATGCAAAACAATCACAAGAAAATAAACAGTTCTTTAAAAGTGATGCGAATTTATTATCAAAAATGCAAAATCCTTTAAATACAGGATTTAGCGGCAATATTCACAGGGTAAATATCCGAAGGTCTTCACACCCTTCAACAGCAATCAAACACAGTAATCAATGTTTAAAAATACACGTAGAGTAAAAGATTATTCACAAGCACAGCCGAGCTAATCGCTAATCAAAGCAATCCTCACTACTCGCTGGTTTAATCAAGACTGACTGGTTGATGCGGCTGGCACTCGGAACGCGAAGCGTATAAACCGGATGGAAACTTGAGAGTGTCCTGATTGAGGTTGGTCGAAAATTTTTTTCTTGCATGCGTGGCACTGTTGTGATTGGTCAGTGGCACTGTGAAAGTAGGCACTCTATTGGTTGCACTGATGCGTTGTTACAAATCAAAGGGGAGATCTAGAAATCTGCCCTGTGTGGGGGTTGCAATTGAGTAAAAAAGTTTTGCGGCTGGCACTCCTATTTATAAACCGGATGGAAACTTCCAGAAAATTCCGCATGCATCATTAAGCGTGAACTTAGTGGCGAGATCCACTACTTTCTAGAAGAATCCAGAGGGTCCCAAACTCGCCAACATGGTCGCCAATAACGCCAAATTAGCGGCCAACTTAGGTGCCAAAAATGACTCCAACTTGGCTCTACCGCCAAGATTTTGCCAAGTTCTCATTGAATCGCCATTATAACATAAGGGGCGGTATTGCTTGTGAATAGTACAATTTTAACATGAAATAAATATAACGTAGAGTAATAAAAATGCATTAAACACCCAAATACAAATTATTTACACAAAATTCGTAACAATATATTATTTCGTAAAAAGTTTAACATTCATATATATTCAGTCATTCTAATATCCTCACCCTCGCTTACTTTTCTGTAGCTACAGTAGCTTGGTGGTCACTGGCGTAGCTAGCTCTGAGGGGGCTCTGTATCGAAATTCCTTCGGGGCCTTTTTTTAAATTTGGGAGCCCTGTTAGTGGACTGTAGTTACACATTTTAGGGCCCAGTATCATTGATACGGCGGTAGCTACATCCTTGCTATTGGTTATGGTCACGAACTCGTAGTCGATGTGTCAAGAATTCAAACATTAGTGCCACTGAAGACTCACCTAGTGGCAGGACTGATGTGCATTAAATCTGTCCAGTCTCAATGACCTGTTTGTACGGTGTGGTAATTTTGAGCAGTGTAGGTGAGCGATGCACGATTTATCTTTCGACAACACAAGCGTCCTTCCGTTGGTGTGGTAGTTAGGAGAGGGGTTGGCAGCTCAGGTGTTGTCCTCGTCACTTGACCATGGTTCAAAATTACGAGGTCCGTCACTAAAAGCCTTCGTGCAGCTGAATACTGCTATGTTAGTATTTACTCACTCACTGTAGTAATTTGGAAGTGGTGTCAGCTCGAGTGTCGTCTTCGTCACTTGACCATGATTCAAAATTACAGCGTTTGTCGACAATAGCCCTCGTGTTGTATTCTCTCATTCACCCATTTACCTTCCAATTTTCCTTTTTGAACTAGTTTCAAGTCATCAGTAAATTAAAAAACAAACATTTATTTAAATTAAAAAAATTACAATTAAATATATACTTATTCGTCTTCCAAAGTACTTGTATAAAGTGAGAACGAGGTCAATTCATCACGAAACATGCATTTTTACTTAAACCTAGCGCGAAATAATAACGTGCCTACAATAAGCGAATGCTCATGGTAGTCAACAACGTAGCCACAAAATTCCACTAAAAACCCGTTGTACGAAATATTTTAAGTCACTGCGCAATAAATGAAACCGAGTCGTAAGACCTAACGTGATGTGATGTAGAAGTTAGGAGAGTGTGGTACCAGTTCGTGTTTCCTCCTCGTCACTTCAAAATTTCGAGGAGCCAATAACTTGCGAATCATTTAACTTGCTGCTCGTGTGTGACATTAATTTTTTTTTATTTAGTACGAAAAAGGGCGTGTCATTGCACTTGAAATCTAACTAAATCTCAAACTTCGTACATCACGTAATACGCTAATTGAGAGTGAATGAATATTAATGTCGCACAATTCAGCGAAAAAGACACGGTGAGTGAATCTTCAGTGGCCAATGAGTGAGTGAATATATTAACCTCACACTGTTCAGCTACTCGAGGGCGCTTGGCGATGAACCTCGTTATTTTGAACCATGGTCAAGTGACGAGGATGGCACCATCCTCTTCTAACTTTTACACCACACCAACGGGAGGGCATTTAAGCCTCGACAGATTGACATGCATCGGTTCCCACTGCACTTCGGGTCTTCTGCGGCACTTGACTCGAACTCATGACACACGAGTCCGAGACCTTGACCTCTAGGCTCTCGTGGCCACTACACAAATTGGAAGAATGAAATGTAGACGCAAGGCAACATCCTTGACGTTTGACCTTGATTTTAAATAAAGGAGTCTGTCACTGATAGAGCATTGAGTAACTAGATGTTAATTAAAAATGCCGTAATAGCATTTGTTCATTTATTGGATTATAAATGGAAATGGCTTCATTAATAATATGTCATTTCTAATCATTAATTGGAAATATAAAATGTATTTATTGCAAGTGATTATATGGTTATTTCTCAACCACGATAACTGCTTCAGCTCTTGTCAGATTTCTTATAAATTCGGATCACTTAATAATTCGAAAGACGACAGGAAACGAACATCAATTAAAATCCTAATTATATAGTGGCTTAATTTTTTTAACTCCAATCCATCTGCCATTGGAAAAAAGGGAAGATTAAAACAACTGTTCTGTTTTATTTTTTTAACACGCTTTTATAAGTTTCACTTGAATGTAATGGAGTCTTTGAACTCGAGTTTTACCCAATTTAAAAGGTCAGATTTATTCGAAATTTTGCACACTTGTCAAGGACCGATGGCAATACAATAATTTCATAATTTTGTTTCATTGTCCTGATCAGTATCCTCATAAAAAGGATTTTAAGGATTTTGAGATTTGGCGACTAATTCATTA